AAACAATAAAGATTAAAAAAATAGCACATACATTGTTACATTAAAATCTTTATCTGGATGTAGGTTAGGAATACTTTATTTAAGTTCACCAGCCTCAGCACACACACACACACACACACACACACACACACACACACACCTCTGGCTTACCCACCTCCATCAATGTTAGGTGGGTTAGCCATGGAGTTAGCAAGCTTGGATTTGAAATCTCACTCTGCTACTTGCATGTGGGGTCTTGCAAATAATCACCTAACTTTTCTATGACTCAGTTTACTTTTATGAAGTCCTTGCCTTCAGACTCATTCAGCAATAAAAACTTATTTTATCTTTGAAATTCTGGATGTCTTTCATGGGAATATTATTCTTGTTTTTCTGATTCTTTAGTAATTTTAACTATGGTTGCTTCATCATGTGTTTATGAAGATTAATTGAATTAATATCTGAAATGCACTTAGTGTAGTGTCTGACACACCTACGTAAGTGCCTTTCTCTTTTGTTATGGTTATGTTCTCACTCTTATTTGTACAAGATTATCTTGTATCAATGGATGTGCATTTAGAACAAAACTTTCCCCCCAGGGCATTTTGTTTTTTTTCTCTGATTTGTTTCTTGTTCTCTCTCTCCCTCCCTTTTTTTTTTTGGGGGGGGGGAGGCACTCTATCTATGAAAAATAGACAGATTGAGATGAAATACAGTCTGTTCAGAAAAGGATGTACTTAAATAGTTTGAAGGAAGAGTAGGAACTTATATTATCATCTTGAAAGTGTTTTAGAGTTTAACCCATTCTCTCTTCCATTCAACACAGTTACTGCATAATGGCCATGGGCATTGGAGACACAAAAGAGTCCTTGTCTATCATCTTGTAAGATTGAATGAGTCCAATAGTTAAATAAGGGGAGGAAATGTGGTCAATTCAATCACTCCCAAAAGAAAAGCTTTGTTCCAAATAGAAAATTATTTATAGGAGCTGATATTGGTAAATACTGTGGGTGAGTTGTTAATTAGGAAAACCACTTGGTTTTATGTCATAAAAGAATGACTTTATTTCTTTAATGTTTGGTTTTTTTATATGTTCAATAATATTTTCTGAGCCCTTGGTTTATACCAAATATTTTATCAGTAATTAGAGACATGAAGGTGAGCAAAAGAGACAAGACTTTTGTTCTCAAAGGGCTTATATTCCAGTAGAATGAGGCAGACATAAAGGATTTATTAAGTATCTTATTTACAGGCCATGTAATTGTGAGTTAAATAAACAGGGAGATATGGTGGAGAGTGAATGAAATGTTGGTGGTGCCTTTCTTAAATACAATAATCTTAAGAAAGCCCATTTGGAGCTCCAACTTAAAAAATGAGAATGAACCAGTCATTTGAAGGTCAGGAAGAACCTTTCAGGAAGTGGGTGGAGCAAGAGAAACAGACCTTGAAGGTAGAGATGGGCCTGAAGTATAAGAGCAGAGGTCCTGCTATGGAGCAGAGCTCAGAACACCCAGTGGGCCTGCCTGGTGTGGCTCAGTGGTTGAGCATCGACCTATGAACCAAAAGGTCATGGTTAGATTCCCAGTCAAGGCACATGCTTGGGTTGCAGGCTTGATCCCCAGTGTGGGGCATGCAGGAGGCAGCCAATCAATGATTCTCACTCATCATTGATGCTTCTCTCTCTCTCTCTCTTCTCTCTCTCTCTCTCTCTCTCTCTCTCTCTCTCCCTTCCTCTCTGAAATCAATAAAAATATATTTAAAAAAATAACAACCAGTGGGCAAGTCACAGGTGATTTCTTAGCCCTGCCTCCAGTTGGTAGGTCTGCATTTCTTAAAAGCTTCCCAGGTGATGCAGGTGCTGCTGATTTGGGTCAACACTGTGAACACTGCTGTATTAGAGAGGGATTAGAAGGAGGAAGGGATGCTGGAACACTGTGAGCTGGGGGGTGAGTAAAAGGAAATGAGGTTGGAGAAGGAAGCAAATGCCTAGCATCTCAGCCTGGAAAGGAGGTACCAGTACAGGCAAGATCGGCAAAAGGTCATTGCAGGTCACCCTGGTCCTCAGTGATGTGCTTTTTCTTAGATGTATACAATGTAGTCAGTGTTCAGGGATTATCAGATTCTACATGGCACTCCCCCTTTAATGCATGTGAAATAAATCCCATGGAATTTGGAAATTACCTACAGCTCCCTCTGTGTTTGAGTCCCCTGAGCAACCTTTGACAAATGGAACAGATTGCTCACTTTGCAGAGCATAGACGTTCTCCCACGCTTGGGTTTGGAAGTATGAGACACAGGCAAATCAGGCGGCTGCAATTCAGATCAGCTCAACATTTACAGAAACACTTGCTCTGCAGCTGGCAGAGCTATTTAGTGCAGCAAGGACACAGTGAAAGCATATTCTGTGATTTCTCACAGCAAGCAGCATTCCGTCTTTTGGGGATAAATAGCAACAACCCACATGAAACAATTAGAGGATTATATAAGCAGAGGACAGTGCAATGTGTAATAAAGTGTTAAATGGAACATTATCATATGTGGACGTTAATGAGGCAGATAATAAGTGCCCGGGCCACTATGAAGAGGGGGACTTGGTTAAAATTCCTGGAGAATATTTCATAGGGAGGAGGCATTTGAACTGGCCCTAGGAAACTGTTTAAAATTTGGCTGGAAGGGAGGGAAAGACATGGGAAAGCCTTTGTCTTCAGATTCAATCAACATGCAAAGAATTCTTGTGTTTTCCCAGTTTTTGCTATTCTGCTGTCTTTCAAGGGAAAGCCTTCCATGTGTTTCTGATTCTGAGTTCAACTGAATTACTAGCCCATTGTCTAGGGAGAGCTGTTTGGTCAGGGAGCCCCATGAATTTCTCAGAAGCCTTTATCCTTTGAAGGAAGCTGTCCTGATTTGCCATTGTTAATGAGACTTGTGCTACACAATGCACAAGTTTAAGACCCACTGAGAACATGACCATGTACCTCTTTTCATCTCCACATGGGGGAAGCACATGGCATACAGCCCTGCAGAAACCCAGCAGCTGAGCTGCTCCCCCAGCGTTAGTAATTGTCTTGAACTTTCTTATGTCACATCTTAACAGCTTTGTACTGGGAGTGATGGACTGTACTGCTTCCACCCTTCATGAATAAATATAAAATGTCTTGCCACCAGGAAGACGGACCCTTTGTAGCCATGTATTTCTTTTGTGCATGCATCCTTAAGACCCTGCATTCTTACATTTCAAAATCCTGTGCCTGTATGAGGCTTAGGTTGGAATTTGTGAAATGTGCACTTATTGCAATGTATATATTTTTACTCTGTAAATGGGGAGGGGGACTGTTTGTTTTGTTTTTGTTTTGTTTTTTTTTCATCAGATCCTAGCTCATACATTGGATCACTCAAAGGGCTCACCCCCTTTGCTGAGTCTCTCTGGGAAATTCATAGTTATCCTGAATATTAAGATATATCCTGTTAGTTCAGGTAATTTGAAAGGTGTAGGCTAAACTTTAATCCCAATGTTAAGGCAAAATAGAGAAATGAGAAAGAGAGAATGATTAAAGAGTGGCCCTGGCTGACCTAAAAAGAGAGTTTAATGGAAATCTGAAAGACAGAAATTGTCAAACATTTTTACTTGCCCATTCATATCCAGAAAAGATTTTGAGAATGCCCCTTGAAAGATATGCTTATGTATATATTATATACATGTATCATTATAGTTATGTTACTTGTATATGAAAGACACACAGAAATAGAAATAATAAAGAATGTGATTTTTAAAATGAGCATCATTTCTAAGATTTTCTTTCCAAACTTTAAACAATTCTTTTGTATCTCTGGTGTATGGGCACCCTGATTGAGTACACCTGTGTAAACTTATAGCAGCAGACAGCATGGTGCTGTGCACTGGTTCTCAAATGTTAGTCTGCATCACAATTTCCTAGAAACTTGTGGGAACACAGATTTCTGCCTCCCCTCAAAGCCTCTAATTCAGCATGTCCGGGGTCAAACCCAAGAATTTACATTTCTAACAACTTCCCAGGTGACGCTGATCTGAGGACTGTACTTTGAAACCACTGAGGTAGTTGAGAGCTTGGGTCTCAGAACTAGTCTACCAAAGATGGACATCAGGATTCTTTAGTTAGCAAATGTGTGACCTTGGGTAAATTATTTCACCTGTCTGAGCTTGGGTTTTATATCTGTGAAATGATGGCCATCATATGTACTTACCTTTTAGAGCTACTGGAGAGCTTAATGAGATCTCAGAGACAAAGTGCTTAGGACTCAGAGCTTGTTACCTATAAAGAACCAACCAATACATGTTGGCTGCTATTTTTGCCTCCTTTGAATTATCATCAAACATATTTTAATGTTACAAAGTAGACTTTAGGGCAGTGATGGCGAACCTTTTGAGCTTGGCGTGTCAGCATTTTGAAAAACCCTAACTTAACTCTGGTGCTGTGTCACATATTGAAATTTTTTGATATTTGCAACCATAGTAAAATAAAGACATATTTTTGATATTTATTTTATATCTTTAAATGCAATTTAACAAAGAAAAATCAACCAAAAAAATGAGTTCGCGTGTCACCTCTGACATGAGTGTCATAGGTTCGCCATCACTGCTTTAGGGACATCTGTGCCTTAATTCATGAGAATCATGGGCATGTGATTTTCTGCTTTAGCATTATCCATGTAGAAAGACCATGCCCAAGTGAGATCTCTTTCTAGTTGAATGGTAGAGATGAAGTTCTTTCGCAAGGTCTGCCTAAAAGAGAACAGTGTGTTCAGCCCTCTCCCCTCTGTGTGTAACTGTTGGTAGTGTGTGGCTAAGTGTGTATTTCTGTCGTCTTTTGTACATACTAAATTCTTGTTGCATGATACAGAGTTGACATTTTTGGTGGTTGTGTCTTTGAATGTTTTGGGGCATGAGGATAGTACATTCAAGTGATTGCTTTGAATTTGATGAATTTTAACACGTTTCTATCTACTTCTTCTTCTCTTCCTTTTTTTTTTGTATGCATTACTAGGACCAAGTACAACCTGCCAGGAGGATTCATGTGCCAACCAGGGGGTCTGCATGCAGCAATGGGAAGGCTTCACCTGTGACTGTTCCATGACCTCATATTCTGGAAACCAGTGCAATGATCGTGAGTACAACCTTTTTATTCTTGGATTTTTTTCAAAGAGTTCAGAGGTTTGGAGGGGCATTGTGTAAAAGGGTAGCTCTTCTGAAAGATTCATTAGCAATTTTCTCCTCCAGAGACTGGGAAAATAAAGAACCAATGTTCTTTTGTGGTTTCCTGGAGGTGATACTAGCACTGCTGGTGGACATATTTCAGTGCCATGGGAATCTGTAACCTAGGTCTCCACTTCCTTATCATGTTATTGCCCTAAGATGGCCACTGAAAGGTGAACAAATGCATGAAATTTCTGACTACTTATTGGAAAGAGATGTGTTAAAAAAGCCCTGACTTTGTATGTCCTGCTGACCTTCTGATTTTCTAAATACAGCCTAAACTCATGGTATGAGTTTGTTTTATGATCTGAACTCAGTCTGTTGGACCCTTGGTTTCATAAACAAGATGTATGATGCTATCTGAGCAAACAGCAAAGCCATGGTATAGTTTGCCCATGTGTGAGTAAGTGTTAATTACAGCATTATCCCTATCATGACTATTTGGTTTTCCTTGATTCCTTATTGCTCAACTTTTTTCCATGTGTGTAGTTGTCTCTTGTTCTTTTATTTTTTTCACCTTTCTCATAGTTTTTGGTCTTCATATGGTCTGTTAGTCTTTTAAGATACATGAAGGAGAAGCAAGTGAGGATTCTAGCACTGTAGAGAAAAAATCCCTTGATACTCATTGATCTAAATGTAAGCCTGTGCCTCTGTATCTATAGCACCCTCTCTACAGAAGGTTTCAGCATCCGATTGCTCTTTCCAAGTATTTGGTCTTACTGAAAGTCCAGTTTTCATATTTATGATTTGACAGGCAGCTATGGACCCATAAGAGAACCTTGGAAATTGTATTATATGCTCTTTCTTTTCCTTTCAATTTGTCTGCATAGACCTCAATAGAAAGCCATTTTCCCCCTAAATGGTGGCCTAATGTTTTTCTATCCTCACAACTTTATCCCATATCACACATACACAACATTCCCAGTGGAAAACAGACTGCACACAGCACAGGCAGAAAGGTAAGTTGCTGTAACTATGGTGAACACGCACAATCTTCAGAAGGTATGTACGTATTTTACTCTTATTGATAAGTTCCTGTATGTCCCCAAGGCAAGGCATTGTTTTCTGCTAAAACTGAGTGGGAATCTTTTCAGCTTTCTCTGATGTTTCTGATTTTATGTCTCAGTCCAGAATGAGGATGTCATGTCATCCAACTTGAACAACTTGTTGATATGTAATGAAGTTCTAGGATGAGGATTGGGGAAAGTCAGCTTTCTTTTGTGGAAGTATCTTCTCATCCTTCAAAATATTTCTAAGATATCCAGAGTTAGTATAATATATTTTAGATTTTTATTCTATAAACTACAGGCCCAATGCACGAATTCATGCATCAGTGGGGTTCCCTCGGCCTGGCCTGTGGGATCAGGCTAAAAACAGCTCTCCGACATCCCCTGAGGGATGCCAGATTGCGAGAGGGCACAGGCCAGACCAAAAGACCCTTCTGGTGCATGAGTGGGGCTGGGAGAGACGACACGGGAAGTTGGCCAGCCAGGGAGGGACCATAGGAGGGCCCCAGGGCAAGTCTGGCCCATCTCACTCAGTCCTGATCAGCCGGACACCAGCAGCAAGCTAACCTACTGGTCAGAGCATCTGCCCCCTGGTGGTCAGTGCATGTCATAGTGAGCGGTTGAGTGGCTTTAGCATATCATTAGCATATTATGCTTTGATTGGTTGAACTGCCAACCAGTCGACCAGGCACTTAGCATATTAGGCTTTTATTATATAGGATAATGCAATTGAATTTTTGATTGTATAAAACCTCTGAACTCAAATCTCTGAAAGAATCCTCTTGTCCAGTCCCCTCTTGGAGAGTGGACCAGGGCTTCTGAAATTGGATAACTGTATGGACATGGGAGCAAATACATCTTAATTGTAGAATGACAGGAATGTATAAAATTCAGATACAGGATTATAGGATCTCAGTATACTAAAGTTTGTATATAAACTTTTTTGTTTGTTTGTTTAAAACAATAAGCATGTTGCTCATGAGGCTGTGGGTAAACGTTTAATGAAACCCAACTAAATGCATCAAATTGATAGGCTAATTATTGGAGTGGATGTCTCTTTATCTAATGATTGACATTTAAAGTATGTGAGGGGAACTTCTCTTTTGCAACCAGCATCAGAATCAGTTTTTGTGTTTGTTTGTTTTTTTCCACCTGGGAAATCAGCCTCACTACTTTACATCATAGATAATTATTTTCAAGGTCAACCTTGACCCTTAGAGTTGTAATTTGTTGCTTCATCTCACAAACATTTTCAAAATGAAGTTACCTGTTATTCTCTGTGCTTCCCTATGTTAGCAAATTCTTGGTGACTTACCTTGCATCAGGAATTGAGCATGTCAGCAGCACAGTTAAAAAAAAAAGGCTCATGATCATTGGCAAAAGTAGTGGGGAAAATTTAAGAGAGGAGAAATGATGGAGTGAGTGAATTAAAGAAGAAGCAGGATGAAGGAGAAAGAATATAGAGCAAATCAGGGTTTGAGTCTTAAATGAAAGAGCAAGGAGGCCATTGCTTTGGTAACATGCAAACCACAGGTGGCCTGGCTTTGATCTATATAACAGAATAGCGGCACGGCATTGTAAGTGGGGTGTCATCAAAGAAATCTGGCCTTCATCCAATTCTTAGGAATAGTATATTTTCTAGAATGTTGTATATATCAAAAATTAATTGTATTCCTTAAGATGCTGTCATAAAACCACATGAATTCATTAGAGATTCAATCTAATGGCAAACAGCATTTTCTGGGTGGGATATGGTTTGGAGCTCTCATTTTCTATGAGCTTTTTCTCAGGACATCAGATTGATCCAGTTATTGGAAATGAAGACATCTCAATTTATTATTGCACATCCAAGAATAGAAAATTGTTCAGTGAGGAAATGGCTAGGCTATGATATTTTCCAAAATAAAGTGCTCAGTTCATCATGTGTAAGAAAGCTAATTATATCTGGGGATAACTTGCAAGTTTCTAAAGAAATGTTTGCATTTTAGAATCTTCTTCCTTTTTCTAACATTGATTCTATCACTTACAAACTTTTTTTATCTCTTTCATTTATTTATTTATTTTGCCTGTTTGCCAAATTTGGCATTTGCTTGACAATTTTGAGTTATAGTTACATAAACCCATGAGTCAAGTTTACACTTAGAACTATATTTCATTTAGTATGAGTAGACCAGTCCTGGGTGGTTTTAATTTATTTTCTCATTCTCTGTGAAAGCATGTTGGGTTGATGGAGGCAGTGGGGTAAATTCCAAGTTCATTCTCATGAAGATAGATGCAAAGCTGATATAGTGGATATGAAGGTATGACATGTATTCAGTGGCTGATTACCTTGTATGAGTGATTTCCTTGTATTAGATAGAAACAGAAATATTCTCATTGGAAACTAAAGTATAACTGATTTCTTAATTGTCTTATATAGTTTTATGACATGACTTTCCACTTCTTGTTATGGTAAAATCATAAGGAGCTTCATTTAGGTTACTTTTATGGCTATTTATAATGGAAAAAAAACCATCCCAGAAGCAATCTTGAGTTCATGTAGGATGCAATGGGGTCAATCAATAACATTTAGCAAAAGAAAATTTTTATTTCTTCTGAAATATTCAAAACAGAGTGGGCCAACTTCTCAGAGATTGCATACCACCTGAACAACAACACAATATTAGGGTTATATTTTAAAAACAACATGAGAATGGGACCTTACAAGGATTCTTATAGGGGTATTTTTGTTTTTGGATATTGGGTTCCTATTGGTATTTTAAATCAGGACTGAGATCTGGAGAGATTCAGTATATTGTAGTCATTATACATCATGCAAATCCAGATCCCTTTTCCATATAATGAGGCCATGCCACCTCCATTGGTAGCCTATTGTTGAATCCCCTTCTCCTTCAGAACATAGCAAGATGTTGCACAAAATCCAGCTCGCTTGTGCATACCCACACATACACAAAAGAGTTTTAATTTGTGGGGGAGTCTTTGAAAATAGCAATTTGAAACACCTCACATCTATCCTCACCACCATGGTTCCTTTTTTAGCATGTTCATGACAACTGTTTTAAGTTGTATATAATTTTTGGATCTTGTTGTTGCTTCTGTGCCTTGGAGAAGCAAATGTGGGACAGTCTGTGTGTGGCACACGATTCCTTAACACATATCACGTTCCTGGATTTAGAAATGAGCTGTGTTTTTAATGGGTTGGTGGGGTGAAGAGTAGGGGATAAATGTGGGTCCTCAGCCTACCCTCACCAGCCAGTTACCTGTGCTACATTGCTAATTGTACATTGTGGGCTTCTTGCTGGAGAAATTGCTAGGTTCACACTGGCTTATGATAATAGATGTTCTTTTCTGGCAACAAATCACTAGCAAGCAGCTGTGGATCGTGCAGACAGTGGAGTGTGAAGCGTCTTTTCAGACAGTTCTCTGCTGGAGTGGCTGTTAAGCTGCCCTGTTGGCTATTGATTGGCCTTTTGCTTTTTATCTATTGTGTGGGTTTATATATTTTTTAATGTAGGTTGGCGTATTGATTAAATCTGTTAAAAACACATTTCCCATTCAGGCTTCAGAAAAGATAAACAATATATGCATGACTTCGTGTACAAACAAGGGGACAGACGTGTGCTCATTCTGTCTCTTGGATTCGTGTAGGTCCACTGGCATTATGTTATGAGCCCATGTGGTTATTTGTACTGCAATGATTTCCAAGAGTATCAGACTATTATATGTCCATGCTTCTAGTTAAGTGTTTATTTCCTACCTCTGTTTTCAAGGTCTGCCTATCCTGTAAATAGGCCATATTTGAGAAGTTTACTATTAAGACAGTTGTTTGCTACGTAGGACACACTTTATCATTTATTTATTCATTCACTTACCAGACATTTCTTATTTGGAGATATGATCATGA